AAGAAATTTTCCTTATTACTCACAGAAAATAAACGGAAATATTCAGAATATCTTTGTTCCTTGTTCGACAAGGTTAAGGAAAAACGGAAATATTCTGAAAACCTTTATTCCTTGTTTGACAGAGGATACAAAAATATTCCAAAATTTTTTATTCCTTATCTGACAAGGATAAGAGAAATGGAAATATTGCGTAAAATAATTCGACTCAATCAATAAAAATTTATCGATATTATACAAAATTATAAATGGAATATTGACAATTTTATTAAATAAGTCAATAAATATTTATTCCAAAAAAGAAATTCTTTTATGGTTTTGCATAATAGCCATCATACTTCCAATATATAACAATTGCACATCTTGACTTTTAGTCTTGATTACATATCCACTTTAACCATTTATTTCTTATTCAAATTAACTTCGATTTTGACAAGTAATTACAGTGTCTATTAGTGCTCATTACAAAGATTTCAAAGAATCCATAATTGCCAAAATTTAAGTTCCAACAATCCCCCACATGAATAGAAAGTACTCTAAAACATATGTAAACTCTACTAACTCGAAAGACTATGCAGACACACTAGGACTTGACACTAGGACTTTTCGAGAGTATAGGCGAAAAATTTATTGTGTATGATATAGTAGCATATTTCAGCCTTGAACTATTCATTGTTGATATCTGTCGAGTTTACTTGGCCAGGAGGTGAACATGATGTCTTGAACCGCCTGGATTTTTATGTAAACTTAGACAACAGGTACAACCCAGTCTCATCTTCTCGTGTAACTAAGTTCTCTATTGTGTTCACCGTGGCCATGAACTTGCCTGGTTGTCATGAGTGAACTTGGAGATATAGCCTTGTCTTCATCCTCCTAGAAACGGCCGCATTTCACACTCACTAGGTGATTTCTTTGAGCTCCTGACATATACACAAGTAACCTGTTATACTTTATATTACGAAAGCTACTCAAAATCATTAAAAGTATAAAACTTATCTTTTAATACTCACAGGGAGCATTGTACATCGTTTTGGGAGATGGGCACAGACGTTATGTCTTTCAGTGCTTTCATCAGACTCTGTTCGACTTGGTTATCCCTTTGAACTTAGATCTTGGGATCTCCAATCACATAAGTGGGGTTTCCATCAAACATCATCTTAAGTCATAGGCAATAAACCCATTCCCTTTGATGATTTCAAAACTTGATCTCTATTTAAACCTTTAGTGAACGGATCTGCAAGGTTGTCAGCTGACTTGATGTAGTCGACCGAGATTACACCCGTTGAGATCAAATGTCTAATGGTTTTATATCGCCTTCTGATGTGGCGAGACATACCATTATAAAGGTTACTCAATGCCCGAGCTATTGGTGATTGACTATCACAATGCACTTGTAATGCTGGCACTGGTTTCTCCCACATGGGGATGTCTTCAAAGAAAGACACATTTTACTAGATTCCATTATCGTGTTGACATGGATATCAGGTACATCTGACTTATGTACTAGGAATCGATAAGCATTGCTATTACGTGCATATCCGATGAAGATGCAATCAACCGTTTAGGTCCAATTGTCAGCTTCTTAGGAGGTGGCACAGCGACTTTTGCTAAGCACCCCCACACTTTGAGGTATTTGTACGAAGGTACAGTTCCTTTCCAAAGTTCATATGGCGTTTTGCCAGTAATCTTGTGTGGAATTTTGTTGAGGATGTAGTTTGTGGTGAGCAGCGCTTCCCCTCCATAGATTCTGGGGTGTCCCAGATTCCTGCAACATTGCATTCATCATCTCTTTCAGAGTGCGATTCTTTCTCTCTGCAACTCCGTTAGATTCAGGTGAGTAGGGAGCGGTTGTTTGATGTATGATGCCTTTTTCTTGACCGAAAGCGTTGAAAGGTCCATCATACTCGCCACCTCTATCACTTCTAACCATCTTAATGGTTTTTTCCCAGTTAGTTTTCAACTTCGAGCTTGTACTCTTTGAATTTGTCCAAGACTTCGTCTTTACTTCGCAGTAAATAGACGTAACAATATCTTGTGCAATCATCAATGAAAGTTACGAAGTACTTCTTACCACCCCTTGTTTATATGTACTTTAAATCGCACAAATCAGTGTGGATTAGGCCAAGAGGTTCGGTTGTTCTTTCAATATGATTTGGGAACTCAATTCAGATAAGCTATTAAAACGTTTAATGCGCTATTAATTGTTCACAGAAATCACCTAATGACGTTCTTAAGCCCTAATAGTCGTTTCCAGAAATCACATATAGGTGTTCTTAAACGCTATATATCAGATCTATAAGATCATTTATAGACAAACGTTTCGCGATCCTGCCTAGGGCTAACGCGGAAATCGTTTTGTGTCTTTATGATAATCATCTGTTTTTAAGATCAAACGTTCTACAGTTGGCTATAAGACAATCACAGAAGCGTTGTAGATCGATCAGAAAACGTTTTAAAATTATTTTATGAAATCATTTTGAAGAATTGTTTGCAATATTCAATCTGATTCAAGCGATTAGCAGGAAACTGATTTAAAGAATTAAGATTGTAGGACTGCGAAAATCCAGATTGAAAATCACGAATCAAAGAATGATTAAAATCAATAATAAATGATAATAATTTATAAAACGTTTTAATAAAACCTTTAAGGAAAGACGATACACGGAGTCGAGATATGATCTCTTCCTTAATTCTTTAAATCTCCCGCAGTGTGGCGGTTTGATGAGATTCAGAATTCCAGGATACAACCGTGTTGAGACTAAAGTCGCAGCACCCGACTATAGAATCTGCGAACTTAAGAATCTACGCTATACTCTCGAGACTTACCTAAGACTGTAGAGACGAGAGGGATTTGCTTATTGCTTTTCTGGATGATAAATAATGAATGAGAGAGGTCCTTATTTATAGTAGAATAGAGGTTTGTGATACAAGGAATTTTCCATATTACTCACAGAAAATAAACGGAAATATTCCGAATATCTTTGTTCCTTGTTCGACAAGGTTAAGGAAAAAACGGAAATATTCTGAAAACCTTTATTCCTTGTTTGACAAAGGAAACAGAAATATTCCAAAAATCTTTATTCCTTATCTGACAAGGATAAGAGAAATAGAAATATTCCGTAAAATAATTCGACTTAATCAATAAAAATTTATCGATATTATACAAAATTATAAATGGAATATTGACAATTTTATTAAATAAGTCAATAAATATTTATTCCAAAAAGGAAATTCTTTTATGGTTTTGCATAATAGTCCTTATACTTCCAATATATAACAAATGTACATCTTGGCTTTTAGTCTTGGTTACATATCTACTTTGACCATTTATTTCTTATTCAAATTAACTTCAATTTTGACAAGTAATTACACTATCTATTAGTGCTCATTACAAAGATTTCAAAAAAATCTATAATTGCCAAAATTTAAGTTCCAACAGTACATAATACAGAAAAATAAATAATTAAGAGGGAGTTTTGAAAGATAATATTTTGTCTTCGTAAATCAATATTTATCCATTTAGTTTTTGTCATTAAACATCTCTACCCCTCTATATAAAATCCTCTTCTCCTTTGTAATAACACACGAGTAATAAGAGAAACATTTAATTCTTTTCTCGTCCCCAATCTCTTACTCGTCCCCAATCTCTTACTCACGTCTCTCTCCCTTCCTTCTCACCAAACACAAATCTGACATATATATATATATCAAACATATATCTCATATTATATAATAATAAATTATTTATAAAATAAACTTTTTAATTGGGAAAATGTTTTTTATTGGTTATTTAAACCATTTTATAGATGATGTAGTCAAGAAGTTACCATAGACTACTATTTTTGAATGCAATTTTGTAGTATACCATAGAACGAACAATAAACAGAGGGTTTTTTATGTATATATATATTAGTACTAATGCTTTACGGTTTTTTAAATATGAGTTCCAAAAAAATGATAATTAGCCCAATTCATTAGAGCCAAAAAAATTAGAAAAGAAACTCTTTACCATTATTTGTATTTGAACATATTTTTATGAAAGTTATCTTTTATTAAACTTTTATGTTATATAATATCAATCTATATTTTCTAATTTATCGAGAGTCTCTAAGAGCATCTCCAAGAGACACTTCATATTTGAAGTTTGGGAAACTTCAAATTTAAAGTTTGGAGGTGTTACTCTTCAATGATAAACTTCAAAAAAAACTTCAAAACTATTTATATTTTGCATTATAGTCCTCAATATTGATAATAATTAATTAACATCATAAAACTTTTATAAATAACTAAAACATACATATAAAAAGATTACAACCAATACTAATCAATAAAACATTACATAATAATTTAAAAAATACATAAAATACACATACTAAATTTTAAATTACAAATAAAATATCAAATTATTCAATAAAACTACTTTCATAGTGCTTTCATATATGATTAATCAATGCATTTCAAAGTTACCTGATATTAGTATTATTGTAGTATTTCAGTTTGTGTAATATTTATGTGTTTATGTAATTTATTTTCTTGTATTTTGTATTAAATTTGCTTTATATATAATTGTTGTTGTGTAATAAAAAATATTTATAATAATGTGTGATATTTCTTCTGAATTTATTTTAAGATTTTTATTTAATCTGTATACAAAAATTAAATATATATATATATATACACATATATATGAAATACTAAAATTATATGGACTAAAGTGATAAACAACAAAACTAAAATATAAATATTCATATAGTATATAATTAGAGGGACTAAAATATAAATAAAAAGATGAAACTTCAAATTCTGAAGTTTTGAAGTTTCTCTTGAAGTGCAACAAATTTTATATTTGAAGTTATAGAAAGTTTCTTGGAGATATTCTAAACTTTCTAGGCTTACGAACGGACTGATCCATTTAACACCTCTAAAATTTAATGGGGAACCTATTGAGCCAACCCTCTTCGTTAATAAAGGTTATATTAGTGAGGACAAGAACATCTGTTTCACTAGCCTTCTTGAGCCATGGCACTCTCTGTGACGTGTTCGCTCCAGGTCCAGTGCAACCAAACTCCATAAACGTTATATGGTCCCTAAAACAACATTCCTTAATATCTTTATATCATACATTTAAAAATTTCAAATATAAAAAATGGAAAATTTGTTGTAAAAAAAACGAATATAAAAAAATGTAAACTGATGAGGTAAAAGTGGTAAATTTTCAAAACAAAAACAATCCTTATACATCCTTACTCAATACTCATGTCAACCAAATAAATTCTCAAATTACGTTGATTTGACCGAGTTAGTCTCAGTATTAGTCAAATTTAATAAAGATTTATTTGGAGATTTTGACTAATCTGGTCAAGGCAATGTTAAGTTATTTGGTCAAAACGAATAAATAGAATTTTTTTGGGGCTAATAAGAAAGTTTGAAACTGTTTTACCCAAACACAAAAATTGTTGATACTTAAACGGTTTTGCCAAAGAGAGAAAGTTTAAAAGATGATTAAGAAAGTTTAGGAGGTAATTAACATACTCTTGGCCTTTTGCTTCCCAAGCATCCCAACCAATAGGTAAAATACTGTCGGAAATTTGACAGCGGTAGATGACACGTGCGTACGGTTTCCATGCTCGTCCCAGCAACGCCTTCCCATTTCCCGTAACGGTGCAGTCTTTAAACACAAATGCTCCGTTCTCTATCAATGATTGTCTTCCATGCGCCGTTATCGACCCGTAAGGATTTTTCGGTTCATAGAATCCCATCGTTACGTTCAACGTACATCCCTTTTTAATAACATTTTCACCAGTAATTAATTAATGTCATTAATTCTTCACACCATGATTTTTAGTATATATATATAGATTATCATGTTTTTTTAGTGATATTTTACTATATATTGTTTATTATTTTGAAGATATTCTTATACTTTTTCTGTTTAAACTTATTTGTTTCTATAGTTCATGCAGTTGACTGGAACTAAGAAATTACTTACTAAAAAAACACACAAACAAATAATATACCTCGAAAATGGATTGGGCATAGCCAAAAATGAAATCGATGCCACCAGTGATAACACAATTTTTGTAGTAATGTCTGCCTAAACCGTCGAACAAAGTATCTTGAAAACCATCAAAACTAGAATCGATCACTACGTATTTGTCTCCAAGCATCCTCGCAGCAACTGCTGGTTTAATTGGCCTCCTTAAAGAGGTCTTTAAATTAATATTATAGGTATTCTACAAACAAACAAAAAAACCACTGATTAAACCTTTGGTTATATTCAATGCATATATACTCTTAGAACAAATTACCTTCATTATTAGAGATACTAGGTATATACCTGTGCTACGTAGCGGGATATATTTTTAGATTTTGTATATATTTTTAATATAATATAATTATTTTTATAATATAAATGAGTATTATATTTATTTTTTATTAGCTTAAATTATGTATTTATATGATTTAAATTTGAATAAACATTATCTATCCTTAATTTTTTTTATTTTTTAAAATTATAATCTACTATCAAATTTGTTTAGCTAACTATCTATAATGTATACGTAAGAATAAAATAATACATTTTAAGTACTTTTATGCTAATGACAAATGTAAATTGTTATCTCTACTAAATTGCCACTTGATCCTTCTTTGAAATTATATAAAGCAAATTGACATTTTTAAAAAAACTGAGAAATCGCACTTTCCGACAAAACAAAAAAATTTCATTTTACCTATTCCCGCCAAAACCAAAAACAATCATTTTCTCATCAAACCTGAAATTTCATTTTCACACCAAAATAGAGAAATTGCAGCTTCTCGCAAAAACTAAAAAATCACATTTTCCTGCGAGAACCTGTGTTTTCCTGTCAAAACAGAGAAATGAAGTTTTTTCACCAAGACCAAAAAATTTATTTTCTCATGAAAACCAAAAAATTGTCAATTCCTGCAAAAAAAAATAAAAAAAATTATCAAACCAAAAACCAGGCCTTCCTACCAAAACTGATAAAATATAATTTCCCGCAAAAACCAAAAATTTCATTATCTCCTGATTGTGCTTTCCGCGAAAACTAAGAAATCGCATTTTACCGCGAAAACAAAAAAATCACATTATATGTCAAAAACTGAAAATTTTTATTTTTCCATAAAAACTGAGAAATTGCTTATTCCTTCCAAAATCGAGAAATTTTGTTTTCCCATCAAACCGAGAAATTGCATTTTCCGCCAAAATTGTCAAAATTCAATTTTCCACGAAAACTAAGAAATCACATTTTCCCGCAAAAATCAAAAAATCACATTATCCATCAAAAACCAAAAATTTGCATTTTCTATCAAAACCAAGAAATCGTATTTTTTTGACTGAAAAGTTGCATTTCCCTCGCATTTTCTCGTCAAAACTAAGATATTTTGTTTTCGCGTCAAAATTAATTTTTTTTTGTTTTCTCATCAAAATCAAAAAATTCACATTTTTCCGCCAAACCCGATAATTCATTTTATGCCATAACCAAGAAATTATGTTTTTCTAGCAAAACTGAAAATCACATTTTCCTACTGAAACCAAAAAATTCTCTATTCCCGCTAAACCCATGAAAATTTGTTCTGAGTAACCACTGGAAATGCGAATCTCCAAGTTATGGTGGCCTGAGCTTCTCCTCATTTGCTTTCGACTTCCATTTTTTTGTAAACTTTTGGGCTTTTTAATGGGTCTGCAAAATAGTAAACTGATTTTATTAGTGTGTTAATGATATGTATTATTGTTATGTTTTTATTGGTTCAAATTTGCTGATGTGTGAGCTTCTTATAACATCAGGCTTTTTGCGTTGTTGTTATGAAAACATAGTTAATGATGAGCCTACACTTTTTCAATCATATACGTCTCTGTCGAACAAACAAATAGCTAAAAAAAATGATTTATTTGCTATTAATTATTATTTGGGTTTGAGTTTGACAAAAAATAAAACATAGATTAAATTTTTTTTTTATTTGCTGTTAGTTATTATTTGGGCTTGGATTTGACAAACAATAAACAAATATATTTTTTTATTTGCTGTTATTTATTATTTGGGTTTTGATTTGTTAAAAAATAAAACAAATTATTAACAAAAAATGTATTTGGGTTTTTAATGGTTTTAAATTTAAAAATTTAAATAAGTAGATGAGTTGTATTAATATTTTAATTTGATTAGTTTGTAAAATAGCTGATGTGTCAGCTTCTCAAAGATTAAAAAATCTGATGTGTCAACTTATAGAGAGACTTGAGTGTTATTGTTGTATTGATATATCTAGGTAATTATTGTTAATTGGTTTAAAGCTACAAAGTCATAATCTCACACATGCATTATGATCACTCGAAAGCTAAATAAAATGTACTCATGATATGAATCCATAATTAGATAAAGAAAAACATACTTTGAAAGTGATCCCAGAGATGATGATGTTGTCAGAAAAGCTAGTGAAAGTGGCAGTAGCATCAGTAAGCAGATGTTCTTTTTCGTAAGCTATAATCGTCTTTTCAATTCCTCCACCTTGCATGTATATGAATCCTTTATCTTGTGGTATCCTTACTTTCTCTCTAGATTTCATCAAATCTTCGTTAAATTGTATATAATATGTGGTAAGAAATCATGTGACAAGATAAATCATCTGAAATATTGAAGAAGACAGTATAATATACTTGTAAATGCCGTTTTTTATGAGGATAAGAGTCCAATTTTGGTTTTGAAGAGGGATTGAATTTATGGCATTTTGGACCGTTTTGTAGTTTCCAGCACCATTGAGATCGCCGGTTATGGTGTTAGCTATTTGGCCGGAGTTTCCATCTTTCCGTCCATAATAATCCTCTGCGTGAGATCCGTGTACCATTAAGATCACCATGAGACACACGATGTAGTAATAATAGTAGTAATAACAGATACTATCAAATGTCACCCCTTTCATTAATTTCATGTTAGAAATATTTTATGACAAACGACAAGGGGAGATTTTATATATGAAGACGTTGGACACGTTAATTCTTATCTAGTTTGAATTAATTGGTCAAAGGGAGGAAGATTCGATCGATGCTACTTTTTTTTTCTTACCATTTCTTGTTATTATACATTGAATCTGTTTATTAAAATGGTTTTGGATGAATTATAAATAAAAAGTAAATAAATTGGGTTATTTTGTTTTGTTTTTGTATCGGTTGCGATAATTTTACTATAAAAATAATATTTTATATTTTCTACTATTATAAATAGTGTTCATTCAAGTATTCTCTACATATTAATTGAGAATGTAGTTTAATAAAAAATGCTGAGTTGTTTTAATTTTATTGGATAGTATGTTTAGTTTAACTAATTTAAATATGACGTGTAAATGATGATGTATAACGACGATGTTGGGAGATGAAGTTATAAAGTTTTGATTGATTTTAAGAATTGAGAGATTTGTTAAAAAGATTTATTAAATTTGGAAAGAGTTTGTTTATTTAGAAAATATATGAAAATATTTTATTATAATGACTTTGAGAATCTAACACACATAGGTAATATTTTGAAAGTCTTCTAAAATCTTGTTCTATGAGTTAAATTGTTTAAAATCTTTATCTCAATAACACAAGATTTTAATAGAATCATAAAATCTTTAAAAGCCAAACTTTTTTAATAACAAAGGATTTTGGATAGAATTTTAAAATCTTTAACCAATAACAATGGATTCTAATAAGATTTTAAGAATCAATAAACCAATAATGATGGAATCTCAAAATTCTCAAAATCTACATAAATCTCTCTTCCAATAACCCCTTCGTAATTGTGACATGTCAAACTTTAATACATGTGACTTGTGACATGATACTATTTAATTTATATAAAAATTGATGTAAAATTTTTGATCCAAAATGTAAGCATTCAAGCTTTTTATGAAAAATTTGGGAAATGAGATTTTTGTCGATACAAAACATTTGTCAGAAAATTTGCAAATATCAAATATTTGACAGAAAATTTGTGGTACTTCTTTTGCCAAAATGTTTTTGATATCATATATAGGATATATTATTTATGGATTCATAATTTTTGACAAAAAATCACGAAATCAAATTACGAAAATAAAATCACATTTATAAAATAATTTTATGACAGACAATTTATACATCTACTTCTTTGGTGAAAAAATTACAGATTCACCTTTTAATAAAAAAAAAATATATTTCATCATGAACAGGAAGCTTCTGAAATCTAGGGGTGGACACAAAAACCATAACCGAAAAAACCAAACCATACCGAACCGAAAAAGTGATATGGTTTGGTTATGGTTAAACCTAAAAATCCATTTGGCCATTATTTTTTTATAGTTTTGGTTTAGGTTTGGTTTGGTTAAAAACCGTCAAACCAAAATGTTTTTTCGGTTTTTAAACTAAATTTTAAATAATTTATATTTTTCTAGTTTCTTAATTTAGTTTAGGTACATATTTTATTATTGAGCTTAGTTATCTTTATAATTTACTAACTTAACTCATAAATTTAAAATATAATATTTATAAAAAATATCTACATATAAATAATAAAATAAATCTTAATTTTTCAATAAAAAATAATGTGATTAACTCATTGTTCTTCACATTCATATCTTCTAGTTCTAGTTCCAAGGTTACATGTATTAAATTTTAATCTAGATTTGTTTATTGTTTTATAATTATTTATTATGAAAGATTTGATAATTTATTTGTTTATCTGTTTTGAAATATGTCCTTATTGATGAATTTTTTATGATTTTGATTCTATTTTTTGAACTTATTGTTTTATTTTACTCATATCTATTATTATTTTTTTCTATTAGTTTGAATCAAAATTTTCCGTAAAAGTATAATTCCAAAAAAAACCGAAACCAAACCATATTAAACCGAACCGTAAAAAACCAAACAATACCGAACCGAAATATATATGACTTTTATATGGTTTGAATTTTCGTAAAACCGATAAACCGTAAAACCGAAAAAACCAAACCGAAACCAAACCAAAAACCGAAATGCCCACCCCTACTGAAATCATATTTCGTCTTCAACGTAGAATTTTTGATACATAATTTATGGATTCAAGTATTTGGTGAGAATTTTGTGTAACCAATTTTGACGGAAAGTTTTTGAAATCATATTTTGACTGGATTCATAATTTTTGGCAGAAAACTCACAAAATTAGATTTTTGACCAAAAAATGTTTTTAAAATCTCCTTTTGTAGAAAACTTTTATGACTCAATTTTTTGGAAATCATATTTTCAATGTAAATTTTTGGCTAAAATATTTAGGGCTGATTTTTCAAATAATCCATTTGGCAATTTTATTATGAAATATGACCTTTCCTAAAATGACTCATAAGAGAAGTCTACTAGTGTGCTTTTAATCTGTCGTTAGTGTGCCAGTAATTTGTATTTAATCTGCCATTAGTCTGTTAATAGTCTATATTTAATTGTAAGACCAATCAGTCTACCATTAGTCCGCCATAAGGCTCCAAGTAAAAGTAGTTAGAAGGGTAGTGCTGGTATTTAAAAAAAAACATAAAATATGGGTCATTTTCACAATTTTCTCTCAATGGAATACCCGTTTCACATTATTTTCTCATTCTGAGTTATTTTAGAGCATTTCCTCGAGTATTTTTAGATTCACTTTTTGGCCGAAATTTTACGGAATTAAAATTTTTAAAAAATATTTTGGGAATCATCTTTTTGATGTAAATGTTTTGGTGGGAAAGTTACAAAATCATGTTTTTGGCGGAAACATTCTGGATTCGGGTCTTGAAGGAAACTTTTAGATATCATATTTTTAATTAAGGTTTTTGGCAAAAAAATATACAGCTTCACTTATTTGACGGAAAGTTCATGAAATCAAAATTTTGAATGGTAGTTTTTGGAATCATATTTTCCATATAAATTTTCTGTGGCGAAAAATATATGGCTTTACTTATTTGACGGGAAGTTCATGAAATCAAATTTTTGAATGGTAGTTATTAGAATCATATTTTCCATATAAATTTTCTGGAGAAATGTTTTTTTATAGATTCACTTTTTGGCGGGAAATTCACACAATCAAAATTTTGACAAAATAGTTTTGGAATAATATTTTGATGTATTTTTTGTGTGAAATTTACTGATATCTATTTTTATAGTAAATTTGCGGAATCAGATTTTGACAGAAACTTTTTAAAATCTTATTTTTAAGTAAGTTTTTTGGCAGGATATTTACAAGTTCAGGTTTTTTTGCGTCAAATCTACAAAATCAGATTTATGGAGGCAGATTTTTTTATAATTTTTACTATCTTTTCATCTTGTTTCATTACAAACAAAAATACAAAAGTTTATATTATATTTAAATATATGTCAATAATATATTGAGAATTGGAAATAAAAAATGGGACGAAAATATGACCAAATGAGAAGAAAAACTATAATAAGATGAAAAAAATATTAATAAAAAGTAGAAGACAAATAAAATGAAGAATAAAGAAGAATATTTTCAGTTTTGTGTATATTTTATTGTTTGCTATATATAATTTCTGAAACTTATTACAATATTTTTCACAAACTAAAATGTTTTACAAATATATTTAGGGATAATTTTTCAAATAACCTATTTGGAAATTTTATTACGAAACGTCATGGTTTGAGGTCGTGGATGCTACCTGATACTGTGCGGCAAAACATCTATCTCCTTCCTTCCGGTTACGTTTGGTTCTCCTTGTGTTCCTTCCTTATTTTTCCAAACTTGTGACATCATAGGTACCTGAAAACAGCTTCAAACATGCAGACATATGCAAAATCCTATCCTAAAGATATCTAGACCTATATGAGTGAAAATGAGAGAAGAACTAGGACGTAAATACAATGACTCGATCCTAACTATAAAGTAACATGAAAAGGATGTAAATAACAAGGATATCAGCATCCCCGAACTTGCCTTATAGTTTGTCCTCAAGCTAAAGCCAATCGGAGGGTGAGGTTTTGAAAAGAAAGAATGCAAACCTAAGTCCATTAATGCCATTATAAAGAGTTCAAATCAATGTCTAAATCTAGACTTGTGGGGTGCAAACCGAGTTCTACTTACTTAAAAAGCCTTAGCCCAACTCATCACACACGGAACAAAATTTAGCCTTAACTTATATGCATATTCAAATCGTCTTTTGATGCTAGATATTTTTGGTCTCTAACCTCAGTACCTCTCTACACATGTCATTGTAGTAAAAAAAGGCTATCAATCCAATACTATGGCTAAGGAACATATGAGATGCAGAAAACTTGCTAAGATATGCCTAATCATAAAAGGGTTTGAAATCTAACAACCTAAGGTGAAGAAAGAAGAAAACAAGGGAACAAGAAAGCTAACAAGCTAAAATAAAAAATGCAATCTAGAAAACAGAGGTTCAAGACTACAAGGTGAAACCAGATCAAGAACAAGGCTTTCAAACAAAGATCAATGCATTAAACTCTAGGCAAAGACCACTTATATAGACTAACCTAATCTCTTGGCACTAATCCCTTTGACTAATTATAATCATAATCCACTTTCGATGGTGGCAACACAATCAGCAAGCTTTCAATCACAAGGTCCATAGAGCCAAAAAGCACCTTAGACCACTAATACCTTAGGCTAATCACACTAATCTCTTATGAAATGATTCGAACACTAACTCACTTCCAGCATAATCAATGTCTATGGTAAATTTCCCATTCCCTAAAGTACTCTAGCAATAAGATCAAGTTATGCAAGAAATGATAGATGCAATGAGTCATGACAATCAAAACACCATTTTCAAGCTGTGAACTTCATTCAGGCATATTAACAAACACCTTAGATGCAATATTAATAATGCCTAGGGTCTATTTCTCATAAAGGGCGGTACTAAGCATTAAGCACAATCACATAAGAAGAGCTAATAAAAGATCTAACATCCTAATCATCCTTAAGCATCAAAGG